TTGTATTCTTACAGATTTGACAAAATTCTTTATGTATTTGAGATGAGATTTTTGTCTGAGAAACAGTAATTTTTTCCCCAATTTTTCTGTTTTTCTTCTTATCTTGGCTATATTTGTTTTATTTTTATAAAACCTTTTTAATTTAATATAATCAAAATTATCCATTTCACACCTTACTCTGCTCTCTATCTCCAGTTTATTAATAGATTTTTCTGCTTTCCAGAAGTCTGATAAGTAATGTGTTCCATGTTCTTCCAATTTTCTTGTAATTACTCTATTTATCAGTCAGTATCCATTCTAACCTCATCTTGATAAATGATATAACATATTGCTCTATGCCCAGTTTCTGCCAGATTTCTTTCCAGTTTTCCCAACAATTTTTACCAAATAATGAATTCTTATGCCAAAATCTTAGGCCTTTACACTTTCTACTTTAATTCCACTTTGATTAGCAAATGACTTATTTAATTTTATGTACTTGTTTATGATTTTATGCCTTAAAACATGATTAATTTTAGTAAAGTTTTATGCACTGGTAAGAAAAATGTATAGTCTGTTCTCCTTCCATTCAATAATTACTGGATATCCTGACTTCTCTAAAATCTTTTTTAAATCTTTAACTTCTTGTTTGTTTCTATCTTCTTTCTCATGGTTTTTCCCACTGGTTCTTATTTTTCTTCACAACATGACTAATGTGAAAATATGTTTAATATGAAGTATATATATATATATATCTATATAGCCTATATAAGATTGTATGCTGTCTTGAGGGAAGGAAAGGAGGAGAAAATTTGGAACTCAAAATTTTATGGAATAAATTTAAAATTAAATAAAATTATTGTGCACCCATGCAGCCTCTGAAGCTGAGATGCAACAGAGAATGGATTGATTCTCTGCTGCTTGTACTAATTTTGGCCTAATAATTAACACCAAGAAAACATAGGTTCTCTACCACTAAATACCATGCCATCCATATATGGAACCATTGGCTACAACAAATGGAGAAATTTTGAATGTTGTGCATAAGCTCACTTACCTTGACAGTGTACTTTCCAGGGATGTTCACATAGATGATGAGGTTGATACATGCATTTCCAGAGCTACTTCGATGTTTGGGAGGCTCCACAGGAAAGTATGGGAGAGAAGAGGTATTAGATTGCCTACCAAACTGAAGGTCTACAGAGCCCTTGTGCTGACTTCATTATTGTATGCATGGACAGTATGCCATTGTCATGCCAGGAAACTGAATTGCTTCCATTTGAATTATCTTAGGAAGATTCTTAAGATCATCTGGCAAGATAAGATACCAGACACTAAGGTCCTTTCTCAAGCTGAACTGACAAGCATTCAAACTCTACTGCAGAGAGCACAACTCTGATAGGCTGGCCACATTGTTCAAATGCCAAATGTATGTTTGCCTAAAAGACTATTTTATGGAGAGCTTACATAAGACAAGTGCTTACATGGAGGTCAGAAGAAGGAATACAAGGATAGTCTCAAGGTCTCTTGTGTGAAATGGGAGACACTGGCAAAGGCCTGTCCAGCATGGCATGTTCACATCAAAGAAAGCATTGTGCTCCGTGAGTGAATCAAAATTGCAGTAGCTCAAAAGAAACATGAGATGCACAAATTTAGAGACATTTCCACTCCAAATGTTTATATAGACTTTTTGTGCCTGACCTGCGGTAAATCTATCTGTGCTCATATTGGTCTCACCATATGGTTAAGCTCAGATTTGCAGGGTAGGGCACCCCGAGCTCCAGTGCTCTTTAGAAGATAATATTCCATTCTCTCTTCCTTTTTTCTAGTGGATGTGGAATAGTCTTGCATTATTTGAATGTCTTTTCCTTTGTTTTGAAGATCTATCTCCTGAGGGCTGTTGAGATTGAAACTAAGGTAAATTGGGGCAACAAAGTTCCAAGCATGTTCAGTTTATATGTAAGGCTAGCAGTTACTAATAAAGGGGATCTTTAGCTCCTGTGTAAGACAAAAGACCATGAATGAGGCCTGACAGATTATTTTATAAATAAAAAGAATGGCATCCAAAAACTAGAAGGCAGCATTATAGATGGGGAAAACTAGGTTGCAAAGTCAGAAGCATCAGATGTGGGGGACAATATAACTGGCTGGGAATTTGGAATGCAGGACTAGCAGCAACCCTCTCCTTCCATCTGGTCACTATGGAAAGCTCATTAGTGGTATCCACCTGCCTGTTAATGTCACAGCAATAACAGACCAGACTTTCTTGAAGGAAAGCCAGTGTTGCAGAGATAACAGATCAGACTCCCTGGCATCCACCTGCATTCTTCAAGGAGAACAGATTTTCTCGACACAAGAATAGAACAGTGATTAGCAGGAAATCTGAACTTCCAAACTTAACTCAGAGACAAATGAAACATGACTTAGTTATACAAAATGTCAGTAGTGATATTAAATCAAATCAACTAGGGAAAATAATCAATTTGTTTTTTTTCAATTTTCAGGGCTTTCAGAACTTATTTCTGAATTGAATTCTTCAATCTAACCATTACATGTCATGGAGTTTGCTGTCTCATTTTTTGTTTTTTGTTTGTTCTCTGGAGGCCATCTGTAAATGCTTTCGATTGGAACTTCATTTTCTATGTTCAAAAGTTCTAGACAGTTCTCTTCTATTATTTCCTTCATTACAATGATAAGGTTTTTTCTTGTGTCATGTTCTTCTGGGAGACCTATGATCCTTATGTTTTCTCTGTG